TTAAGAAAATTTATTTTGGGACATTTCGTTAGCAAAACAGAGAAAATATTCTAAATTTCACCAATCGAACATTTTCCTACCTGTTACCTCATTGTATTAATTGTTTGTTGACTTTAGTTCACTGAATCACCCTGTTGCTTTTGGTAATGCATAGATAGAACTCTATGCAATTGGCTATAAAATTTCTTCAGGGTTTGGAACTGTATGTCTAACAGGTAAGAAAATACATTTGTCGTCTCTCAATAACTGAGTATATTGTTATCCCCAAAATTAACCTAAAGCTCTTCCAAAATTTTACAGAATTCTAGGTAAAATCAGAAGGTGTATGATATATGATAATAGGCAATATTATATATTAATACAACAATAGGAAAAATAACATATATTTAAAAACACACATTGCAATGCAGGTATAACTAACTTGTTAGTGAAGAGATTATTAGGGTGGTCCCAAGAGGTATTTCAGACTAGAATCTTCAGGATACCAATCCTGAGACAGAAAATAGCAAATAGGAAGTTAATGAGGAGTGCCTGTGGAAGAGGAAGGAGTGAAACATAAATTAGTCACAGGGAGAAGTTTAGGTGAAATGCCGTTTCAGTGATGTCTTTGACCAGTCCCTGCAGGGAGCTCTGAGACTGTGAAGAACCTTAGAGTTTTCAGAGGTTGGGTCAGGGTATGGGCTCTTTATAGTCCTGGGATTAACTAGTTTTTGCATTTGCACAATCCCATGATGGTGTATTATCTACATGTGCCTCTTTTTAACCCAGAAAATTCCTGAAGAGGAATTAGAGCTAAGTACTTACTGTATGGTACAAAGAACATTCTTGTAAAAGTGTGAATTGAAGATATGAGAATAGAGACTGAGAAGTAGTTATATCATTTGCAAATATATTCTTTTTATTTATTTTTATTATGTTTCTTTTTATTTTTTGAGACAGAGTCTCACTCTGTCTCTCAGGCTGAAGCACAGTGGCACAATCTCGGCTCACTGCAACCTCCGTCTCCCAGGTTCAAGCAATTTTCCTGCCTCAGCCTCCTGAGTAGCTAGGACTACATGCACCCACCACCACATCCGGCTAATTTTTTGTATTTTTAGTAGAGGTAGCATTTCACTGTATTAACCCAGATTGTCTCAAACTCCTGACCTTGTGATCTGTGCACCTTGGCCTCCCAAAATCCTGGAATTACAGGCATGAGCCACTACAGCTGGCCCAGCACATATATTCTATAGATAGCACACATATAACCTATGAACACACATACACTAAATGTTCTTTGAGACATGATTTAAATATAGTGAAATGTACAGATTTAAATCTGTGTTTATGTTTAGAGATTAATCTTGGGCAGGGATTGATAAACTTCAATCCTCTGTCCAGTCACAAGTTTTTGATAATGATACTTCATTACAACATGCCCACACACTTCCGTCTATGTATTGTCTATGGCTGTTTCATACTACAATAGAAAATGGCAGTTTTCACAGAGGTACTGTGGTCTACAAAGGCAAACATATTTAGTATTTGACCTTTTACAGAAAATGTTTGCTGACCCTTGATCTAAGGTTTGCTATTTTCCAATAATACTACTTCATGTGTAAAGTAAGACCACAGCATCATATATTTCATGCTCAGACTCTTATCCTTTGCACTGCTGTAGTCTCATATTCTACTTCCACATTTATTATAAGCCTTGTCATTCATCATTACTATTTTGTAAACACTCAATTATTTTTTAAATAAATTTTATAGGTACTTAACCTCTTTAACATTTTAAGCATTCATTTCTTCATGTAAATATGAGTTTTAAAATGGTAAAACTTCCTTAAAGTATAAAAGTATACTTTGATTTTTATAGTATACACATAGGAGTGAAGAATTCTCCCAGCTTTTGCCTTGAATATTATGTTATTTATATATTTAACAGATTTTTTTGCTGGACATAGCATTTCAGGCTGACAGCCTTTTTTTGTCTTTCCTTTTCATCGTGTCAGATAGGTTGTTCTGTTGTCATTCGGCTTGCATTATTTCTGCTGAATAAAGTTGTAACCCTGTGAAAACCTTTAAGATTTTCTCTTTAGCATTGTTTTTCAGCAAATAATTATAATTAGCCTTAGTGTATTTTCCCTTATGTCTGTCTTGCCTGGAACTCAATCAACTTCTCCCATATCTGGGTTTATATATTTCAAACATTATTTCTTCAAACATATTTTATTCGGACCCAATCTCTGTCTTCTCTGCTTTTAGTACTCCACTTGCATGACTGTTAGGCCAGTGATCAGCATCTCACAACTTACTGGAATGCTGTTTATTTTTTAAGCCTTGTTTTTCTTCTCTGAGCTTAATTTAGATTCCTTATATGGCCCTACATTCATCTGCTGTTAAACCCATCCATTAAATTATCTTCTTCACATGCCATTTTTAGTCCTAAAATTTCCATTGTGTTCTCTTTTGTTACTTTTCACCTTTGACACTTCGTATGCATTTCTCTAATGTTTATATGTTTTATTTTAAATAACGGAATGAGTAACTACTGGTTTTTTTTTTTTTTTTTTTTTTTTTGAGACGGAGTTTCACTCTTGTTACCCAGGCTGGAGTGCAATGGCTGGAGTGCAATGGCAAGACCTCGGCTCACCGCAACCTCCGCCCCCTGGGTTCAGGCAATTCTCCTGCCTCAGCCTCTTGAGTAGCTGGGATTACAGGCATGCGCCACCGTGCCCAGCTAATTTTTTTTGTAATTTTTAGTAGAGACGGGGGTTTCACCATGTTGACAAGGATGGTCTCGATCTTTTGACCTCGTGATCCACCCGCCTTGGCCTCCCAAAGTGCTGGGATTACAGGCCTGTTCTGCTAATTTTATCATGTCTGTTATTTCGGGGGTACATTTCTATTGATTGACTTTTTTCCTCTGGTTCTAAGACATATTTTCCCTGCTTGTCCAAATGTCTGGTATATTTTCAATTTATATACTTGGCATTATAGATGCAATGTTGTTCAGTTTCTAAATGTTTATGACTTTCCTTATGGAGTGTTGAATTTTGTTAGTCAGATTTATCTTTTTCAGTAACCTTCGTTCAGATGTGTCCAGACTAGCCCTCAATCTAGGACTAAAATATTCCTACTTATAATGCATAATTTTTATGGGATGTCTCCTAAATGCCTGGATGGATTTAGCAAGGTCTCTCAATTTTGTCTAGTCTGAAATCAATTTTTCCCAGCTCTGTGCAACATCTGGTTATTGTTGATTTCAGAACTCCCTTCACCTGCTGTTGTGCAATCTTGATCTGAAAGTACACTGAGCAGTATTGCTTCTGAGTCTAGATTCCAGAGGCACATTGATGACTCTCATGTAGATTTCCAAAGTTCTTTACACAGCTGTGCCCTCTCTGGGACTCTGTCTTGTGAATTCCATTTTCTTCAGTAGCTTTGAATTCTTATCTGTCTCCATGGCAGTGACACTGCTGCACTGCTGAACTGTTTGGGATCATCTTCCACGTGCTATGATCCAGAAAGTGAAGCTGGCAGAAAGCCAGTAATTTGGCAGGGCTTATCTTATTTGTTTATCTTCTTTTACAGGTCACGTTCTGTACTGCCCATTGTCCAGTCCCTAAAACAGTGCTTTATTTTTATTTTGAGATGGAGTCTCGATCTGTCTCCCAGGCTGGAGTGCAATGTGGCCTTGGCTCACTGCAACCTGCACCTTCTGGGTTCAAGTGATTCTCCTGCCTCAGCCTCCTGAGTAGCTGGGATTACAGATGCCCAACACGATGCCCAGCTAATTTTTGTATTTGTAGTACAGATGAAGTTTCAGCATGTTGGCCAGTCTGGTCTTGAACTCCTAGCCTCGTGATCCACCCACCTCAGCCTCCCAAAGTGCTGGGATTACAGGCATGAGCCACATGCTCAGCCAAACAGTTATTTTATATATATTTAATTTTATAATTTTTAAGGAAGCTATTCAATCATAGTTTTAAGCAAAAATCAGCCATATAAACATTGTTAAATAAATGATGTATCTGTGATGATTTATCAAATGATTATTATGAAAGTCCTCATAGAATAAATTATTTTGCCAGTCTTTAAATTTTTTATGTAAAAAATAGTACATACATTTTGATATACTGTACATTGGATAATCTATTAAATATTTTCCTATCATTTATTCTCTATAGTTGCTGAACTCGCCTTAAAAATTATAGTGCCTCTTAGCACTAATATTATCTCATATTTTCTTTAACTTATTTTGTGTACAACCCTAGTTATTTTAAATATTACTATAAATTAAGAATGTTCGTGTCATTTTTCTAACATATTTTTACAGATTTACAAATCAGTTATTATATTTTGCCATAAGAGATTTAACTTTGCTTAGTATCTTATTTTTTCTAGAAATATGACTTTCAAGAAATATTGGCTGAATATCCTCTAAGTGTTAAATAAACATACTGCCTGATTTCCTATATACCTCCCCGTACCTCTCAGTTGTACAGGAAATTAATGTAAGATTAGGCTCATCCTGAGAATTGCAAATATTTTTCTACTCAACTTCACAAGAAAAAAATGTATTTTAAAATTATGTATAATTGCTTCTTTTAAATTTATAATTACTAAATGATAAAGCTTACATGAAGGAAAAGAAATTGGATAGTGTTATATATTTTTCTCATGATTTTAGCTGAAGAGTTTATGGTAAATTGATCAACCCTCAGCCAATTAGACTTTGACATGTACTAATAAGATCTAATTGAGGAATTATGAAGACATTTGCTCAGGAGAAAATGAGCACATAATTACACCATAAAGAGGTTAAAGAATCAATGTTACCCAGCTGGAAGAATATTAGTTGAAGTCCCAATGGCATCTATAAAGGATACTTCATAATATATCTGTGAAATAGAGCACTGCCAAGGCCAATTAAGATATGTAGAATATTCCATTGTCAGTTGTACAACTTCAGATTTAAATATTCATTTTCCCATCTTGCCTTTGTCCATCTTCAGGTGCTGGGGGATGGTCTCCATCAGACAGTGACCATTATCAATGGCTTCAGGTTGACTTTGGCAATCGGAAGCAGATCAGTGCCATTGCAACCCAAGGAAGATATAGCAGCTCAGATTGGGTTACCCAATACCGGATGCTCTACAGCGACACAGGGAGAAACTGGAAACCCTATCATCAAGATGGGAATATCTGGGTAAGTCATTGGCAGGAAAGCAAAGAGACAGAATTGGGTTGGAAATATTCAAAAATGGTACAGGATTTACTAAGTATATTCAGTTATCAATATTTATCTATTAAAAATCATTGAGAAACTATTCATCCTTGTTGACGGTGAAAGTTATTTTAGGCTATAATTTCTATCCCATGGTTAAGGCAATGATTCTCAATCTGGATTATGAATGTGAATCACCTGAAGAAGTTTTAAAGCACAGAGATTAAAGGCACACCCAGATCAATGATGCCAGAATCATATAAGTTGAAATAAGTGATTAATGATACTAATAACTTTTATGAAGATAGTAATCTGCAATTGAAGGAAAATATTGAAATTATGAAGAATATAATTTAGCGAAGTAGGAGCAGTGATACATATTAAGAAAAGAAATTGTCTATTTTATAATAGTGTCTTAAACTCTTATTACAGATCTATATTCATTTTATTCCTTTATTATGAGAGAAGAGAATAGACCTTAACTCATTTGTTCTTAAAACATCTCTGTTAACTTAAAAAATTGCATGTGTTCAATCAAACATTCACCACATACACATTTGAATAGATTATTTAACAGTAAAATTTAAGTGTTCTATTTTAGTTCAATTGTTTTAAAAAGCAGCCATAACAAAAATCAAGTAATGTCATCAATATTAAACCAGAAGAATAAAAAGAAGAGGAAGATGAGGACAAGGAGAGGATAAAAGGGGAAGGGGGAAGAGTAGGAAGAGGAAGCATTAAAATTGTATCCGTCACAGTATTGGGCAGAGTGCTGGGTATTTTCAGCTTTATCATAAATCCCTATTGTAAACTTTACTTTAGACTTTATATTTTAAAGGTCTTTATATTATTAATGACTTTTATATTTATATTTTAAAATAAAAAGACTTTTAAAATAGACTTTATATTTTAAAAGTTTCCAAGTATTTTTGGTAAGGAGCAAGAGTATATAATTTCTGGCTAAAGTGGATGTTCATTTCCTAAGCAGTATGTGAAATAAGGATATAATGTCCTGATAATAAAACTTTTATCTGCTTAAGTAGAAGTTTAGAAATAACTGCTTTCAAGTCATAATTATTTAGAATGTTTGCATATTAGGATGCATTAGTTATACAAAGCAAGTAGTGAGGAAAAGGCCTCCTTATAAAAAGTCTTCCTCTCATAAGTAAGATGATTCGAATGCTCAGGCATAATTGATAGAAAAGTGATTATCAAGCCTGGATACACAGTGGACTTAGATAGAGAACTTTAAAACATATAGGCCCTTGTGTCCCAACTTCGGAGACTTGAATTTCATTGGTCTAAGGTGCAATCTGGGCTTTGAGATTTTAAAGTTCCTCCAGTGATTCAAATGTACAGCGAACACTGAGAATCTTATTTTGGATTGGTTTTCAGTCTACAGGTAGGAAGGGAGTAGAGGAAGTTTATGCTGAAAAGCAATAGTAGAGCAGAAAATCTGAAAGTGTTGCCCTTAAAATTTGGCAGAGAGAGAGGGGAAGAGGGAGGAGGACGGGAGGATGGGGGTTGGAGAAATCACGTGACCAACCAGCCAAACAGCAGACCAACCAACTGAGAGTAAACAGTTAAGGCTTAGATCACAAACTCTTCTAATAACCAAAGCAGTCATTCTCCTCTAACTCTTTGGGGTTTCTAAACTAAGATCAAATTAGCATGTTGGTAAAATTACTTGAAGGGTTACAAGTCAGACTCTGAAGTATCCTTCACATTTTTGTGTTTGTAACGTCTTCATCTCAGAATTAAGAGTATTCATATCCTCTCCTCTGATAATGTACCAAGATAGTAATAAAGATGCTGCCGAAATACTTGAACTTTAATGTATCTATCAAATACTGAATAGCTAAGGGTGGCTAAATGCAGAGACATAAGGAAAAAAAACTAAAGAGGATAAAATTGCTCAGGTTGTCTTGGACTTCTTTTTTTTTTGAGATTGAGTTTTGCTCTCTTGTTACCCTGGCTGGAGTGCAATGGCACAATCTTTGCTCACTGTAACCTCTGCCTCCCAGGTTCAAGCAATCCTCCTGCCTCAGCCCCCCAAGTGGCTGGAATTATAGGTGACCACCACCATGCCCAGCTAATTTTTGGTATTTTTAATAGAGACAGGGTTTCACCAGATTGACCAGACTGGTTTCACACTCCTGACCTCAACCAATCCACCCACCTGGGCCTCCCAAAGTGATGGGATTATAGGCGTGAGCCACCACTCCCAGCCCTGGACTCTTGATATTACATAAAATACTAATGGTTGAGTCAGGGAGACAAGGCTGTTGTGTAGTGAAAATAGCACAACTTGTGACGGTATGCTGGATCTACTTATAGAGCTCTCCATCTTTTCTTAAGGTGATGAAGGGTACATTTCTATTGTCTTCTACTTTTCTGGTATTTAGTTTCTTCCTTTCAAATAATATGTTTCTTATTGAAATTCAATGTGCTGTGTAATGAGTGATGAGTGATTATTTCTATAAGAAATTAGTAGTGAGCTAATGATAAAATGTTAAAAATCAAAACAAGTTGGAGACCGTATTCGTCTGTTCTTGCACTGCTGTAAAGAAATTCCAGAGACTGGGTAATTTATAAAGAAAAGAGTTTTAGTTGATTCATGGTTCCACAGGCTGTATAGGAAGCATGACTGTGGAGGTCTCAAGAAACTTACAATCATGGCAGACAGTGAAGGGGAAGCAAGCATGTCTTACATGGCTAGAGCAGGGAAAAGAGAGAGACAGGGGTGTCCCACACTTAAACAACCAGATCTCCTGAGAACTCATTCACTGTCAGGAGAAGAGCAAGGGGGAAGTCTACCCCTATGATCCAATTACCTTCTATCAGGCCCCTCTTACAACATTGGGGATTATAATTTGTCATGTGATTTTGGTTGGGACACAGACCCAAACCATATCAGAGATACAATCTAAATATTGCAAAATATATTTGAGTACCAATAAGCCTGCAACATAATGATTACATTATTTAATAATCTATGAAAGAAATGTTTTAATCCTTAGTAATGCCAAAAAAAAAAAAAAGAGTCCATTTCTTTGATGCATTCTAGAAGAGAAAGTTCACTGACTTCCAAAAATTCTTGAATATTTTAGGGCTATATCTTATCATGCATTAAGTGATTAAAATTTAGCATTTGGGCCGGGCGCGGTGGCTCAAGCCTGTAATCCCAGCACTTTGGGAGTCCGAGGAGGGAGGATCACGAGGTCAAGATATCGAGACCATCCTGGTCAACATGGTGAAACCCCGTCTCTACTAAAAATACAAAAAATTAGCTGGGCATGGTGGTGCGTGCTTGTAATCCCAGCTACTCAGGAGGCTGAGGCAGGAGAATTGCCCAGGAGGTGGAGGTTGCAGTGAGCCGAGATTACGCCATTGCACCCCAGCCTGGGTAACAAGAGGGAAACTCAGTCTCAAAAAAAAAAAAAAAAAAAAAATTTAGCATTTACAAATTTCAACAAAAATACTCTTAGGGATTAAGTTCATTAAAAATGGTATTTAAATACTAGAGTTTTAAAATCCACTACTGCCTATATATATATTGGGCTTGAAGAGAATTTTGATTTAGAGAATATTGGATGGCTTTTTGATGGAGAACACCTTATAAGATGTAAGGTTTGGTGTAGTTTTGAAATTGTTTTTACTATCTATTTTATAATACTTGTTTACCTGAGAAATATAGAAAATAATATATATTCAATCCCAAGATTCTTATTTTAAACAAATGTTCATGGTTGTGATTTATATGATTGTTGGGGAAATGGGCAACATGAGTAATTTTTAAATATTCTTTTTAAATGTCCATATGAACATTCTGACTTATATTATCACTGTTGGATAATATATTAAAATAAGCAAGGAACAAGTCATTTATAAGCAAATTATGACAGTTTCACAAGGTTTTAGAGTCATGAATCTTGCATTATGGATTGAGAGTGACTCTTGAAAAGATTCCTAAAGAATGATTTATCTGAATATTTAATATTCAAAGATCTGAGTTCCGAAATGGGTTTAACTAGTCAAACCTTCCATTCTTTTTTGATGATACTGAACATAATAGAATTGTTTATACTTTATCTACAATATAATTTCCTTCTATTTAGAACTTCTTTTCCAATGTAAAAGGTAAATAAAATTGCCCAAATAATCATTACATCTACATATTCCACAAACTCTATGGCATGATTACCTTGAGGTGTTTTCAGGTTTCCTAAGTATAATCTGTTAGAGAGAGAGGAAGTATTCTATACAGCATTTTGTATCAAAAGTCCATTAAACATTACATTAAATAAGAATTCCAGCAGGCTTTTGCTAAGAGGCTACATTCAGTTTTGCTTGGGAAATTCAATTACTGGATTTCGAATGCAGACATTCAGAGCCAAAATAGAAAACTGGAGTAATAGCAGTGAACGCTTTCTTTACACACTACTATTTTGTAGGATAGTAATATACTACAAATTTACCAGTCATATGAACACAGTTCTTGTTTTACTTAAAAAAAATTGCCTAATCATGAAAACATGCTTGTGTATTCTCAGTTATTTTAAAAACAGTTTTTATCCCTGTTTTTAATTGTAAGTGGGTATTAGACTGAAATTCATTACCACTGCACCTATTAGATGGAGAATTCTACAGATCAGAACTGTTTTATTGTATTTGTATTACATGGTTAGATACTTATCAAGAATATAGGGATAAATAAGTTCATATTCTCTAAGAAATAATAAATAGATTGCTTATTTTCAAAACCTAGATCTCTTTATCAATATATGCTTTTCCCATGTACATATGCACATACATAAAGCTTCATTGTTTCAATAAATTTAAAACATTTCAAAAATCTACAAGGCAAATATAGCAGTTAGCAGATACATTTATGAAACATTTTGATTCTCTGAATATCAGGTCATAAGCTGGACCATGTATTCTCTACTTTCTTTTTAATCAAATATTCCATCAACCAATAT